GCTGTCATTAGCATACAGCTGCCACTGCAGCCCATGCTTCCTCCAGGCTGTTTTCCATTAAACATGTGAAGTCTGGAACCATATACTTAACCAATAATGAATGGTAAATACTTTATTAACCACTGACCTTGCATTTACCAGAATGAATTAGAGAAATAATTGCAAGAGAACTCCTGCAGCTGGAACATGATTCAACCCTTGATAGGACTGCTGAGTTAGTTAAAAGAATTGAAAAAGCCATTAAAGTTAGAAAATCATCACTTCTCACACAATCCAGCACTAATGTGCCAGCAGGAAATAGAAATGATATTCAGAGGGGAGAAAAAAGGCCACAATTGCAAATGAACAAAAATGCAGGCTTCATTACCAAAAGCAAAGTACAATTATTTTAGCATGGTGATGACAGTCTGCCCAAAATGCCCTTCAAAAATGCAAATTGCAAACAATGGACTGAAAAGGGCATTTTGCTAAAGTGTGGAGATCCTGCACAGATTAATTAAGTATCACTTCGGGTGACTCTGAAGAATAAAGTGACGTAGATTTTGTTCTCTCTGTGACCTCAGGAATAAGCAGAGGCCCAACATGCACTGTAATTAGCAGCAAAAATATTTAATAGACTCAACCTGCATATTCTCTCATTCCTGAACCTTCAGCTTTATTTAAAAGCAAATAATGTAGGCTCCTGGCACAAGGTCGTTCACTGCTAGGGTGCCTCCTCCTGGCTGTTCTGGGCATCAGCTCCTTCCAGGTTTGACACTCCCTTTCGTCACTCATTTGTATGCCCCACAGCCTCTCTGTGCAACTCAGAGTGTTCACTCTTTGTGGCTTGGCCCCTCCAGATAGATCACTATGTGTTTTCCCCTTTCAAAGGGGGGTAATCAAAGTCTCTCCATATAAACAGTCTCAGGTAGCTTTCCTATTCAATGCCCTGACTGTGCCACTTCCCCAGGGGATGGTAGAGGAACCAAGGTGGGCCCACCTGCCCACTACTCTAGATTATAGCTCAGGGACCCTACAATCTGTAGTCAAGGTCTGCACTGTCCCAAACCTCACTGCTTTTCCCAGGTCTGCTTTGTACTTTGTCTCTATCAGGTTCCTTCTTCACCCTCCTCTGGGTATACCCTTCCGTCAGGGCCAGGATCCCAGGGCTTCTATTAGCCTCCTGGTTTCTGCCTTTCCCTCTCTAAGCACAGAAAGTGACTACAGGCCTTCTGTTCTCAGCTTCCTAGCTTCGTACCAGCCCAGCCTACATCTGCCCAGCTGAGCTTTATCTTCCATTAGGGTTTGTATAGCCATCCTAATTCTCCCCCAGGTGTGGCCTACTAGGTTAATTTGCCCCTTCCAAGCAACCTTAACCCTTCAGGTGAGATGTGGAATGGGCACTACATCACAGCTCCCCACACATCTAGCCTGTTATTAATCCTTGTTACTTTTTTCTCCACATTTCGAAAATCTGACCCTTCCTTTCCCTCCTATTGGCTGAAGCACTTCTCTACTGCCTGGTTATCTCTAGTCTTGTCTACTGTAGCCTCCTCCTCTCCAGTCTCCCTTCAGCCCTTATTGCTTCCTCTCAATCCATCAAAAACATTACAGAAAACTTATCTTTCTTGTCTACCAGTCAGACCACAGCACTCCCCCCATCTTCGGATTATTCTGACAATATCAAGTCCATAAACATCCTTGCCTTCAAGGCCCTGCATAACATCTTGGCTCTCCTCTCCTGTGATGTTGCCTCTGGTCGTTTTTCACTCTGAACAAGGATACCAACCCCAACAAGCCCTTTGGCTTCTTTTTACACTGCTGTCTTTGTACATTTTTCTGTGGAATGACCTCTAATTCCCCTGTGCACCAGGCCACCACTTTTCCTCATTTAGAGCCCTCTTGAAGACCCATTTCTTCAGTGGGGGAGGAGGGATTGAAAATATTAGATTTAAAAAAATTATCTAGGGCAGGAATTCTCCAAATATTTTAATAGTGTAGACCACAACTTAAAAGAGAGGTGGTCTTCTGGACACCTCTCCTCCCTTTCGTTTTCTCATAGAACACCTCCTCCCATATTTATGATTCTGGATGATTTATGTACCGTATAGTAATGACAGCAATTGGTTACATGGAAAAGTAATACTAGGAAAGTGTCTCAGGTATTCTTAGCTGTCTATTCATGTGCTGAAGCAGCTAGAAACAAGAAGGAGGAGCCAGCACCATGTGAGCAGTCAGTATTTTCATAGCTTTCAAGGACAGAAGGGAGCATTAAATAATCTAGCAAGACCTTCAACCTTTGCAGACCACAGGTGATCCATGGATTTGAGAGGCATTGATTAGTGACAATTCCTTCTTGTAGGTTTCTCAAGAGTGGGGCTTTACGCACCAGGTAGATGAAAAGGCCCTAAAGCAGTGAGAAATAGGACTAGAAGCCTTAGAGAAAGACTTTAGGAAACACTAGGCAGCAGGATCTGATTTTTGGGAAAGAAATAGTGAGCCCACCAAAAGAATGTATAAACTGTGGGGAAAGACATGTTTTGATTTAAGCATATGTTCAAACTGTGATGTTATTTTAGTAAACAAGGCCCCAAGGAGTGGTGTTATTTGACTTGCAAGGCTCTGACAGCTTTTGAGAAGCCAAGAAGGGGAAACTGAGGCAACAGCACGGTCTGACAGTAGCTCAAGTAAAATCTTGTTTGATGCAAAAGACATTTGTGGTACTCTAAGTCTGATCATATATTATAAGGGACTAGGGCATAGACAGTCTGGCCTAGGAGTCACAGCTGGGCTGGAGTCCACAGTAGTCAGTGAGCAGGGGTCAGAGAAATCTTTGGAGGCAGGTTTAATAAGCCAGAGTCAGTGTCAAAGTCAGGCCAGCATCAGAGACCAGAGGTTGTACCAAGCTGTAATCAGGAGGCAGGAATAAGGGTCAGAGTCAGAGATCAGTGGTAATACCTGGCTAGAGTCAAACATCAGGCGGTTAGGTGTGGAATCACAGCAGACCCAAAGTCTGTATCATTGCCTAGACAACTTTCTGGGCCACCCTCAGGGTTAGATAGGGTGATTGGCCAATCAGTGGGCCGCAGAGTACTGTCACACTAACTTTCTTGGGTGGTACTTCCTGTGGTTCCTGTTCTCCAAAGTGCTATCTGTTTATAGCACCATATGAGCTCCTGAGGGCACTGTGCAAATGTTAGCTGTCCCAGCCTCTACAGTGCTAGGTTCTAGTCCCCACATCCTTACCTACATAATGCTAAAGCGAATTGAGCTATGTTCGAAAAACAGAAGGGGGTGGTGGGAGACAGAGTGGCTCTAGATTGCCTCAGAAAAAGGGTCAAGTTTTTGGATATGATGTATTTAATGATGACATTTCAACATTTATTCTTGTTTTATCCAAATAATGTAAAAGAATTCAGCAAGTCATAAGGAAGAGTAAATTTCAGATACAAACACCCATAAGGACACCCATAAGGTTATTTTAGAGTTTGGTTACTACTATACCTCTTAATTATAAATGTAGGAAGTCTACTTAACTATTTTACAGTTTGAAAGTTCTGTCTTTAAAAAAATAAAAGTAAAAAAAAATCTGAAGATGAGTTACATTTAATGCTAACTGAATTGATCAGGAAATAGTAGCTGCAGTATACATGTGATAACACTAGGGTGGGGTGAGGAAAGTGTGAAGAACTGAGATACCAGCAAGATGTTGGAGATCTGAGTTACTTGGAGAAAAGAAAGCACCTTAAGTCTACTCATTTTTCATTACTGCAGCCAAAATACAACACTGGGTCTTTCTGCACAGAGTGAATAATAGAAATCAGAGATGGAAAAGATTTGTTAGGTCAGCTAGCGAGTTCCCTTGATGGTACAAGATATATTGCTTTCTCCATTCTTGTTTTAAATATTTTAAGTGGTAGAGTTTCCACCATTACTTGTGGGAGCCATAGCTCACTACCTATCATCTGGTCAACATGCCTCCCTTAATAAGACTGTAATGCAGCGTCTGTTACATGCTTCTTAGCACCGTGCTTTCATGCAGACAAAAAGCAAGAAACAAATCTTTATTTAAAGAGCTACCAGCTTCTGGGTCCGTGTCAGTTTTTCAGCCCTTTCCCATGGTTCTTTTAGCCCACACTCAGTTTAGTCATTAGTACATTGTCATTGTGGGCCAGCTGCACATATGGACACAAGGGCTGGCTTGTCCTTAACATTTGGTAGTAGTAGAGAAGAGACAAAAGATTCTTTGCTCTGCAGCTGACCTGAGGAGAGTTAAGGTTACTGAATCACACATGAAGGATGTCACTCCCATGCTGTCCTTTGGAGCTGTGGTGTTTCTGCACTGGCGTAGATTGTGGATTCAGCAGACTTTGATGTTAATCATAAAGAAAGACCACAGGCTCAGTTCTATGGCTAAGGCTTGGCCAGGTTTATTGTCAATAAGGCATGTTCTCAGTACCCCATCCAGCCAGTCACATGTACATTAACCCATGTATGTCGGTGACAAGGTATCAGCTCAATCAACAGAAGTGTTGACCCCTAGGCAATACAAACCTGCCCCTCCTACCACTCTCCTTTTCTACATTGATACAAACAAGTTATGTATTACATTCCAGATGTTATCAGTTGCCATCCTTGTACCTTGTGTCTGATATTCAAACAAAACAGCCTCATCCATTATCCTATCATTCCATTTTTATCTTGCAAGGGGCTGTATGTTCCTGTACCATTCTCTTAGGAATATGTTTATGTTACTTAGCTGATTCCTAGTGGTTACTATTCTAACAAGGCCTACTTTGGTTCACAGCCTTACTGTGGTTCATACGTTTAGCCATGCCAAGGGCTCCATCCAGGCCTACAACATGTAGGCTCTATTATCACTGAATCCTGAAGAACTCCAGCGTTTTGTTGGAAATACTCCTTGGAAAATGGAGCTGGGATATCATTACCGCACCACCTCATATTGGGTGCTTCAACTTTCTGAGCAAAAACCCCATCATTTTAATATACAAAGTGCATCATTATTTGTCTCAGTAACTACTTTTTATTCATATAATTAAAGATTACATGTGTATTACTCGCACAGATTAAGTCATTATCTCCTTACCAAAAAGAGCTAAATGTATATACAGCCTTAAAATGCTCTTCCATTGTAGCCTTCATACTGTAGTAAATGTATTTTATATAAATTACTGCATTTTACATACATTTTAAAATACATAAAAACTGTACCAAATGGTACGTTGTGTTATCCTTTGCCAGTGCCCTTCCTGATGTTTCTGATAGTTTCAGTGAAATGATGGGGTATGTGTAGTTTATTTATTACTCAAAACCAAAGTTATATAGGCAATGGAGATGATATAGTAGCTGTATTTGGACAGACAGAAGAAAATGTGTACTTTATTTTATTGAAGTTTTGCACTTTATGTTTTAGACTCTTGGTTACTTTCACAACAAAATCCAACCCCTCCTTTTATCCCCTTTTTTAATTTCAGTTTTCATGGTTGTGTTATAGATCAGCTCCTTGGAGCAGAAACAGTGGAGACTAGGAATTTCAAGGATCCTTCCCAGATACTACATTTATTTAACAATGGGAGGCTTACTGTAATCCCTTTTCTTCATCCACTTATTTCCCTTCAACCTCCCTCCTAGTTCCTTTGATCTCACTACACCTAGTCAGCAGAAAAGGTAGGCCACCTTCCAACTACACACTCACTGCAGAAGCTGTAAAAGGACTGATGATCTCAGCTCTCTGGGCAACTGACCTGTTCAGCAGAAACATCAGTCTACCCAAAGAATCTGTTTTAATCAGTTCTTTAGGTCCCATGGGAATGAGCTAGCCTCTGTAGATCACTTTGTCTCTGTAGCCATGGTTGTAATAATAGGACAATGTTAATTTCACTGGCCCTGATAGTTGAGCCTGAAATCCTCTTCCTTACCCACAAGTGAGTACACCTCACTTCCCCCTCCTCCACTCACCAAAAAAGATATAGTCTCTTGCCGTGGGGGGTGGTGGTGGGGAATTCCGGACCACCATCATCTCTCTTGAAATCAGGTGCTGGGCTTCAGGATTCATTTTTATTGCCTGTAAGTTTTCTCATTTATGGTTCTTCCCAAATGTGTGATCAGGACCGTGCTCAAAAAGGCCGGTTGTGTACATAACACTGGCAAGGATCCCTGAAAGAAAGAGTTAGCACACGGGGATATGCTCCTCGTGGACAGAAAACGAAAGTGTATTTACATTTTCATATTGGATACATATAGAAGAGTGGCTACATTGTGTACGGTGTTTTCTGACGGCTCCTGAATTTAAAGAGCCATCTACATCATGGCTGTACTATTACAGGAGCGTCTTTAATCGATAAGGCTTCCTCAAGCACGCTGGAATAATGGAAGAAATGTGGTTGGCTGTCAGCCATGTGGTTATCATATCTGAGTCACATAGGACCCATTAATTTAGTCTTAGAAGACCTATTAATACAACTACAAAACAACTGCCTTTAGCAACTCAGGGCCCAATCATACAATCCTCAGCTCTGACTGAAATCAACAGGAATTGAGGGCCATTAGCACTATGAAGTAGCAGTGCAGGATCACTTAAAGCCTCCCCACAGCTTTTATATTTAGATAAAATAAAACCTGGGATTATCCGCTAAGTGGAAAATATTCTTAAATGAAATTTACAAATGTCAATAATATGAACTATGTTTCTGGCAGGCCAGTAATGTTTTGATTTCATATGATCTAGAATATTTTCAATGAAAGCAATGATGCTTCAGGTCATAGGTGGATTATTATTTCAAGGAGAGGAGCTGTCACATCCTAATCCACTCATGCAGTATTGCTTACATGCTGGGCATCTTTAAACCAGAAGTCAGCAAGAGACATTTACATTTGTAATAACTGGGCATGTTGCTACTTATCCATGATGAGAAATGTTAGGCTCAGTCAGAGCAGCAAGGCTGTGATAACCTTGCCTGGGGAAGGATATTGACCTGTTTCATTTGTTCAGCTTCCTTTACAAAGCCTTATAAATTCCATAGCATGCAGCAAAAAGTCTCATGATAAAGTAGAAAATTTAATATGTGAATCCAAGATGAAAATGTAAAGTGGCATTTGTAGTGGTGAGTCAGAGAAGGACTCTGCTATAATAAAACTGTCTCAAAAGCATGTAGAGAGACATGGCTTCCACCATAAGGCTCTGTTCATGTGGCTGAATGCACAGCCCCTCTCTGTCATCTTGGAAGAGTGACTATGCATGGTGACTATGCCACGACTGACCCATTTGTGATGATGAATAAACACTATAGCCTGCATTCACCCAAAAATGAGTTTAAAAGACTGCTAAATATGGTCCAATAGAGCTTCCATAGTTTGGCATTCCCAGAGCCATTTGTCAGTTGGATAGCGTGGGGTGATCTAAGTGAAAATTCTTAGCTAGCACTGTACTTTTATTGCTAACATTAGCACTAATCTGAGGCAGTTACAACTCCATTGACTTCAGTGGACTTGGTTATACCAGAGGAGAATATGGCTTTCATATGGTGGGAGGATCACTCAAAATACAGCTTGCAGTTTTCAGAAATCTAATTTAGGAGATGAGAAACTTTATGGAATGAAGTGCTCTCTTTATGTATGGAACAGCTCCAGCACAGGCAACACTAACACAGGCTTCCCTGCACTGACCCATAAGTAAGCTTCAATCTAGATTAAGCAGGACCTCCTCTAAGGGTATGACCACACTTACCGGTGATCAATGTTGCGGTGATTGATCCACCAGGGGTCGATTTAGTGGGTCTAGTGAAGACCTGCTAAATCGACCACAAATACTCTCCTGTCGACTCCAGTACTCCACTGAAATGAGAAGCATAAGGTAAGTCAATGGGAGAGTTTCTCCTGTCGACCCAGTGCAGTGTAGACACCGCAACAAGTCGACCTAAACTACATCGACTCCAGCTACATTATTCACGTAGCTGGAGTTGCGTAACTTAGGTCGACGTAACCCTGTAGTGTAGACCAGGCCTAAGAGTGACAGAGTAGTTCAGTTTCCATACTCATTAAAATCCTTGGCACACTACTGAGACTACCAGTAGGGGTGTGAGTTCGTGCCAGTTAGAGAGTTGCATTTGTGAAACAGAGACTTATGAGCTACAAATTGAACTAAGACCAGCTGAGTTCAGATATGCCAGCAAACAACTATCAGCCACTTTCAGTCACTATTGACCTGAAGCTGAAGGGAATCCATTATCTAGAAGTGAAAGGCCCTATATTTCATTGCCATCCCGTCACCCACAGTGATTTTTTTGTATCCATGCTTCCTCTCTGATATCAACAGGAAGAGGTCAAAGAATTTTTAACTTTCCCTCTCATCTAGTATCAATATGAATTAAAACAATGACCTTTGTTTTATTATAAAGAACAAAGAGATGCTGCCCATCAACTGCAAGATGACCAAAAAATGTTTTTGAAGGTTGATGTCAATTTATACAATTCATCAACAAATATGTGCAGTTGACTTTACTCTTAAGTATCATTATTGAAATGTTAGGCTTAAAGGAAAGAATAGTTTCCATGTTTGACATTGTTTTCTCTCCTCTCTTGTTTCTACAAGGTGTCCAATTTAATTCAATTTCTTAGGTAAAATTCACATAGCTGTCTTAGATATCAGAATTAATCCTAATGCATTGCACACTCCTTTGAATAATTACAGGTTTTAAAATGTCTTTAAAAATGGTAAAATGGACATGTCATGCAGTTAACCAAGTCATTGCAATTCCTGGTTAATATGCAAATTCTAAAAGTTCAGAAAACTTCTTACTAGTTCCACAAGTACACCCTATTTTTGGAGATGAATAATCTGTCTTTTTGTTGCTGTTTCTGATAAGTGAAAATGTCTCATTGTACATGAGCTTCACTCCAACAGCCCTCATAAACTCAAGTCAACAATTATATGTTCAAATATCTGTGTGTTTCCTTTAAAACTAGAAACAAAGAAAAAATCTCTTCGATCAGTTGACACAGCTGTGAAAGAGCGAGGTGCCTGCACATAGATTTCTTTAAATAGTCTAAAGAGGTTCTTCTCGTTATCCCACTGATATATCTGGGAGAAGGTGTAGTCACTTCCTAGAGCTAGGTAGTGATTATTCTTAAAGGAGAAAGGCTGCAGTGTCATTGCCCCTCGAGACGGGAGAGCCTGTATCTCCACAAACTGCTTGCTATTCCACTTCATGACTCTGGAGTCACCAATAAACCTTGTGAGCGTTATGTAGAGGCTATTTTGCATCCTGAAGCTCTTCACAGCCAAGACATCCTCCATGTTGGGGATTTCACTGTGTGGGACAAACTTTTTTGAATTTTTGTTCCACTGAAGGATAATGGGAACCTGTGAGCGGCTCGACAGGATTAAATGAGATTTTCCATCTATATCAACAAACTCAGCATCTGTGTCCCTGAACCACTCATGCAGGGACTGGTAAGAGTAGAATCCTTTGTTATTCCATTTATAAACTGTTGACAGACCAGCTTTAGAGCTATCTGCTATGACAAAAAACTTTTCGCTGTCTATCTGAAACAGCTCTATATCATTTGGCTTGGAAATGCGAGAGACCTCTATGTCCTGGAATTTGACAAACTTTGTCCAGCTTTCATCATACTTGTAGATATGTGAGCCACCGAAGAGCTGTGCCACCACCACGAAGACCTGGTCATCGATCAGGATTGCTTTGCATCCCACAATGGACTGACCTGTTGCTCAAACAAAAAGCAAAAAATACTAGTACCGTACAATTCAACCACTCAAACAAAGAGAGATTTACTCAGTTCCCTCTTTCTTTATCCCTCATTTTGTTGTCTTAATTGCTGCCAGTTTCTTTTCATGTTCTCCATGGCAGCATGAGGCAGTGCTTTCATTCATACTGCATGAGGCGTATCACATTTTTTTGATCCAGCAACAAGTGAGGAAAGGCGACTTCAGATATTAAGGAACAACAGGGTTCTCAAGCAGTGAAACCCTTGGCTTCAGGAGCTAAGATATTGGTATTGGAGGGCTATGTGTATTGGAGGGGGCAAGCTAGTTGAAGGAATTGTGACAGTGACCCTGAGAGGAAGCATAAAGATAGTTTGGGCACAGAATTCACTGAAGTGGCAGACTTGGGGATTTCTTAGCAAGGAAACTGCCTGCTGCTGTTTGTTTCCTCTGTGTTCAAGGAAACCACTCTGTGTACACTTTTTGTGAATAAACAAAAGTACAACAAGAACACACCTGACACATATTGCTGAATCACCCTGGCAAGACCTTGAATTCTGACTAGCCATTCAGGCCAAATGGGGCAACCCTAAATTCTTAAAGCAGCTTTCCATTCTTCTTGGGTTACAAGTCACTTGTAATGTGCCAAATCTGCATTCCTGAAACAGCGCTGTTGTTTCAAGGCCTGTCAGTTCAGCACAATGAAGCCAGTTGGTCCAATGACATGAAGTCTTTGAAATGTGCAGATTTGGAGTGTGAGCATATGTATTCTGAAGCCCTATTTTAACATTGTGACATTGAGGTAGGTAGGAACACTGCTTTGTGATAGGCTAATACATGCCCTTCGTACCCTGTCTCCTTATGCCGTTACTCCTAATCCAGTTTTTTCTTGTGAAATCCCTTATTCCCCCAAAACTGTCAAGTCAGCAAAACATAATCACTTATATTCGACCTCGATATCTTTCTGTACATATTGTATAAAGCTATAAGATAACTTTGAAGAGAATTCCCCCACATCCTCTCTAAAGGGAAATATTTTACTTCTGCAACAGCAACGTTTTCTCCAGGGGAAATTCTGCGCAAAAATATTTGAAAAATTCTGTGCCAAAAAATTAAAAATTCTGTGCACAATATTTTAATTCTGCATATTTTATTTGTCAAAATAACACAATAGAATCACACCAGTTTCAATTATTTTGGTAATTTATTTCAAAATACCTGTCAGCAAGTATGTCTGTAACAATACAGACTACAAAAAAGACTCAGGAAATGTTTTTTGACAAATAGATTCCTTACTAGGCATATTAATACAGAACTCTGAGTAATAATTAATTTAAACTACAATACCAAATCGTATTTCCCGCACCCCTCAGAAGCAGTGCAGGGGGAGTCAGGGGTAACGGAGGAAGACGGAAGTAATTGCTGGGAAGGAGCCTGGGTGTGAACTTGGAGGGCTGTTGGGTATCGGTGAGAAAAGTATGGAACATATTTTTTTTGGGGGGGGGGCAAGGAGGGATTGTTAGGGAGCTTCCAATATGCAGACCCTGGCTGACCCCTAGTCTCTCCCACTGAGTCAGGCACATTTGCCCCTGTCCTCATGTGTCTCTGTGCCCCCACCCAGGCACCTCCCTTGTCCCTATGTGGCACTGCACTCCCTCCGCCTGCCCCTGCACCAGTCTGTCCTCCTCTACATTCCCTAATGAGCCCCTGTCTGGCCCCCCAGCGACTCCACGCTGTCTGTCTCCCCATATCTTCTGTCTCCTGACCTGGCCCAACAAGTGCTGTGAAGAAGTCACTACAGCAGGGGTGAGCAAACTATGGTTCGTGGGCCATGTCTGGCCCTGCAGACCTTTTAACCTAGCCTTCGAGCTCCTGCCAGAGAGCAGGGTCAAGGGCTTGCCCTGCTCTAGCAGGGAAGCAGGATTGGGTGTGCTGCGTGTGCCAGGGCTCAGCGCAGCTCCCTGAAGCAGCGGCATGTCCCACCTCTGGCTCCTACACACAGGGGCAGCCAGGGGGTTCTCCATGCTGCCCCCGCCTCAAGCACCAGCTCTGCAGTTCCAATTGGCCAGGAACTGCAGCCAATGGGAGCTCTAGGGGTGGCACCTGCGGACAAGGAATCGCGCAGAGCCACCTGGTCAGCGCCACACCTCTGCATAGGAGCCAGAGGAGAGACATGTCACTGCTTCTGGGAGCTGCTTGAGGTAAGTTGCAACCAGACCCTGCACCCCTACCTCCTCTTATGCCTCCACCCCCTGTTCCAACCCTGATCCCCCTCCTGCCATCTGAACCCCTCGGTCCCAGCCCAGAGCACCCTCTTGAACCCTAAAACCCCTCATCCCCAACCCCACCCCAGAGCCCGCACCCCCAGCCGGAGCCTTCACCCCAACCCCAACCCCCTGCCCCAGCCCCCTGAATCCTTCAATCCCAGCCCAGAGCCCCCCCCACCCCAACCTCCTGACCCCCCCACACCCTGAACCCCTCATTTCTGACCCCACACTGGAACCCGCACCCCAGCTCAGAGCCTGTACCTGCTCCCACACAACAGCCCCCTACCTCAGCCCAGAGCTCCCTCCCATACTCTGAACCCCTCTGCTCCACCCCCAGCCTGCAGCCTCCTCCTGCACCCCAAACCCTTCATCCCTCATCCCACCTCAGAGCCTGCACCTCCAGCCGGTGCCCTCACCCCCACCCCCACCACGAATTTCGTGAGCATTCATGGCCCGCCATACAATTTCCATAGCCAGTTGTGGCCCTCAAGCCAAAAAGTTTGCCCACCCCCGCACTATAGGCTCTTTCTCTTCCCTAGTTGGTCAGGAGTGGCTGCTCTGTTCTAGCGCCACAGAGCCCACTGGTGGGCAAAAGGCAGAACTGCAGCAACTTGATGGCAGAAGCTAATTTCTGCAAAAAAAAAATAATTAAAATATGCACGGCCCATGAATTATATGCACACACAGTGGCGCAAAATTTCCCCAGGAGTAAACATAAAGAAAACTAATTCAAATCTGTCAAAATACTGCTCTCCCTTACACCTGTACAGTCCCATTGATTTCAGTGGTGTTGCACAGGTATAACAGAACAGAGTTTGGTGCACTGCATTTATTTTGACATGTAGTAGTTTGTACATTTGAAGGTCAGTATGAAGGCAAGATGAACTTCCTTGAGCACATGATGTCAAGTGAACCCTAATAGTTAATCTTCTAGATCAGTGTTTCCCAAACTTGGGACACCGCTTATTCAGGGAAAGCTGCTCCAGGCCAATGGGGGCTACAGGAAGTGATGGCCAGTACGTCCCTCGGCCCACGCCACTTCCCACAGCCCCCATTGCCCAGGCACAGCAAACCGCAGCCAGTGGGAGCCAAGATCGGCTGAACCTGCTGACGCGGCAGGTAAACAAACCAGCCGGGCCCAACAGGGGCTTTCCCTGAACAAGTGGCGTCCCAAGTTTGGGAAACACTAGTCTAGATGAACTGTATGCGGAAAAGCCAGATAGTTCGTCAAGAGATCAGTTTGGGATTTCACACTCTCTGGATAAAATTAATTCTATTAGAATGGATACTAATTCAAATGTTATACTAATATTGTGCCTACATAATCTGCCTACTGCAGGGCCCTTATACCATCCTCTGAAGCATTTAGTGCTGGCCACTGTCCGAGACATGATACTAGGCTAGATGGACCTCAGGTCTGATTGAACATGGCAGTTCCCATATTCCTGTAGACAAGACCCCGATCTTGCAAGCTGTTCCACAAGGGCAACCCCTGTGTGGAGGCCCAGCTAACTTCAGAGGGGCTTGTGGGGATATAAGGGTCCACTCATGAAGAAAACTTTACAGGAGCAGAACCCACCCATGTCTACCCTGTCCTTTGCTGAAGACTAAATATCACAGAGACAAATGCCAAGCTTGTGTTCTGGTAAGAGCTGTCTCCTACAAGAACGATATGGCTCTCTGAGCAACCTAGTCCACATTATGGCCTTGATCCATTGCCTTCAATGTGGGGGTTTCAACAAAGGTGGAATGGTAACAGGATATAGCATCAAGTGTCCACTCCATGATGTATCAGTGAATTCCATATTCCAACTCTTCCCTTCTCCCATTACACATTGATTATACCACCACTTCATGTATAAATCTGATATATTCATGTGTGTACCTGTGATGTTGTCATAACTTCTGAAATTCATTTCAATGTGATCCCATTCCAGTACCATGCAGTTCTCCATGCTAGGCTGTGCAATGGCTACGTACACATCGTTCTTAGAGTTGAATGTATCCACTGAAACTGACTGGTATGGCAAAATCTGATGAACAACAAAATCTAGAAACAGACGTTTAAAAAAATTACAATAAATCCCATGTTGTAAACACAAAATAGTTGACACATGGTTCCTATTTTCTAATCAGTACTATTGGACACTATTTTAGGAACAAGAACTCTGATTTAGGATTAAGCTTGTAACAGCCCTAACACAGGGAGTGTCACTGAGTGACAATTAGGCATGCAGCAATAGGGAGAACAGTTTGCTGCTCTGTGCAGTGTAAATTTCCCTTCCAAAATTCAATTCACAAGAAGATCAAGACATGTGATTGGTGTTAGCTGCAAAATCTGCATTCTATCTTGCCTGATATCTGTGAAATCAGACCACTGACTTCCCTAGAAAGAAAGCTAGAAATTGTACTATGTAGGAGTACTGTCTATGAGTAGAATGTAAAGTGTGAAATCCTGGCACCACTGAAGTCATGGGAATTTTTCCATATATTTCAACAGAGTCAGGATTTTACCCCAAAAAACCAAGACTCCAACTTCAACAGTAACTTTTGGTCACTTATTGCTATGTACCGTGTCTTCAAAAATCTCATTATTGCACATGTGTATCTGAAGTTGGAATTGAGCCCATAGTCTGCATTTGCAACCTGTTATTTATTCAACACAGACACTTCTGCACATTTCCAATTAAAGCAGATGAAGTGAATTCCTTGGGATAACCCCATCCCAGCTACCCCACACCTGCAATGACAGAAATGTATGGCAGGAAGGGGTCTCGAAAGGTCATCTGTGCTGAGGCAGGACCAAGTATACCTAGGAGAACATTTAATTTAAAAAAACCTGAATAAAAGTATAATTTAAAGGAACACTGTCAAGTATTTTAGGTTTAAAATTTGACCTGCCTTACTGTTATCATCTAATGGAAAACCTAGGGTGGCAGCTGAGGCTGAGGCTTCCAAAGCACCTAAGAGAGTTGAGAGCCCAACTTCCAATTGCTGCCCTAAGTCTCTTTTGAAAATCCCAGCCTCTGTGTCAATTTTATTCTAAAATTCACTTAAGCCAAGAGCTCATTTTATATGTTGCACAGCAGGATCTCATACTTGTTCTGTTGCAACAGTAGCTTGGCAGGTCAGAGCAGGGGACTATTATGAGGGAAAGAGACTTAGGGTGACACCTGTTGGTCAATAAAGAGCAGCATTAACAGAGTTCAGGTCTAGTTTGGGTGACACAAACCCTGTCTACAAGGAGGGGAAAATATATTTGTGGGAGAAGATGAGTCTTTCATTAAGATGAAGATTCATCTCAGGCCCACAAACACCCTTACATACTAGGAGCTCTGTGCCATGCTGTGCATGCTAACTTTTCATATTCAGGAAGGGCCTGATGGCCCATGAATTTTAGCAACATTTTAATCATGTCCTCACTCTTACCTCTTGTCCTCACTCTTGTCCTCACTCTTACCTCTTGTCCTCACTCATGTCCTCACTCTTACTCTTAAAAACTCTTGCCCAGTTCTGTGCACTTCAGTGGTGGTTTAAGGCATGTCCTTATTTCCTCTCCAAAGTAAATATTAATTGCTTCCAAATGTTGGATTTTACATCTACGCATACTTGAAAGGCCCACCCTTGTGGAGTCATACTGCAGGAGGTAAGACTAGATAGCTACAATTAAACAAACAGAAAATCTACCACTCCACAGCTAAAAAAGAGAACTGCCACCATTTTTCTGGTGACTACCAAAAGCAAAGCATGAGGTTTTGTGGCAAGCTCTCCTGCATCACTGAAATAGCAGATCCTATTTCCAAAACCATGTGTATTTGTGCTGATAATATCAGTGATGCTGGTGTGAAAGCAAGTACATTTAGAAAGTAAGGGTGTTCTTATAATCAATTCCTTTGGAAAAATTAAAGGACTGGAGAAAACTGGAAGGTAAAATATATGGAGCGTAAAAATAAATGAAAGCATAAAAATGTAGTTAATTAATGATGGAACAGTGACTCTAGCTGTTACTGATAAACATATATTTAAAGTGTGTGTGTCACAGCATGGCACTGGCCCTTTAAGAAGGAAGAGGCCGTTGTACCTGTGTCTCATCAGCTGCTTCCCAACTGGTGTTAAGAGAAGGCACCTGGGCCATGTATATGGGGAGAGACTGGCAAGTGAGAGCTGCCAAAGATCAGGAGACTGGAGGAGGTCTCTGAGAAAGCAGAAAGCTATATAGGCCTTCCCTGGAAAGAGGGAGGAATTGCCAGGAAGCCAGTGCAGGGGCCAGAGAGCCATGGCCAGTGAGGGCTGAAGGCTGAATCTGAAGTTGGAACTGAGCCTGTAGTCTGCGTTTTCAACCTGTTATTTATTCAACATAGGCATGGAGAAGCCTGGCTCTCTGAGCTGGAGAGCTGCAGCTGGAGGGGCAGAGAGGGAAGGCTGCAATGAGGCGTAGTGAGAGATGTAGGCGCAACACTTACGAGGTGAACCCAGTGAGAGATGCTGAAGCTGCAGAGAGCCTGAGTGTGATGATAGGCGTGGGGGCTGCATTTTGATGGACTGCTGGGCACTTGATTTGTTATGTTTTACAAGTATGGGACGTTATCTGTAATAAATTAGCCTTGCAGGCACATTGGTCATGCTGCGGGAGCTCCAAGTGAGGCCGCTTTATCACAATGTGATACAAAAAGTGTGTGTGTGTGTGGGGGTATTAAAAACTAAATAAATCTGTCAGAACATCACAACAGTTTTGAAACAGTCTTAGGGCAAGTGTATGAAGTTTGTGAATTAAAACAAACCTGCCTATTGGCATCATATGGCTCACAGCTTGTTCAGAAGTGATACTATATCAACAAAGCTATTTTGACTCACACCTGACACTGGGTTTATTATATCACTGGATCAGTAACAATGGAAGTATTACTGATCAAACTCTCACTGAATCAACTGATAAATAGTTCACAGTAACTGGTGAAAGCCACTAAAAATTTACACAATATTTTTACTACATATTTAAAAAAGACTGTCCATTGTAGTTGGTATGGAGTTACGCAGTAGAGAGGTGCTGTCATCTGTCCTCTGACTTAAACTTTATGGGCCTGATTTGCATTTTCACTAAGACCCCTTTATGCCACTCTAGCAGTAGAGAGGCCACAAGTGGACACAAGGGCGTATCTAGATAGGGACACTCAGGGCTCAGCTAGGGCAAAGTGCATTGAAGGGTGTGATTTGTAAAGCGCTCTACCGTTGCTTTCTAAAAGGTACATAAAGATGCTGCTGACCTGCTCAAGAAAGCTATATACATTAACGTGAACCAGGTACATTTTAGAGTGTGCCAGGAGGGTCTACAAGGGGCAGTTAGAGTGCAATACAGTAAAGTGCTTTATCGATCTCACCCCTCAGGAAAATTAATCCAAATGAACTAAAGATGTGAATTTAAAGTGGATTAGCTAAAATGACTTAAACCTCTTTGTGTGGACAACCTCATTCAGAATTAAAGTGACCATAATTTGGTTTCTTTTAAATTAATTACATTATGCTAAACTGAATAAAGTTTAATTCTGAATGAGAACATCCACACAGGAGTTTAATATAGTTTAATTAATCCACTTTAATTTAGCACCTTTAGTTAATTTAGATTAGTTTTCCAGATTATTCCCGTGTAAACTGGCCCACTTTAAGGTCTTTTTACATTGTCAGATGTGCACCCACTTTAAGCCCCTTTTGTGGTGCCAGAGCAATGTAAAGGGGCCTTAGAGTCAAAGAGAAGCAGGCCTTATAAAAATAAGATTTAACGAAACCTGGAAAGAATTTTTAAAAATAAACAAACATTGCTTTGCTGTGTTTGCAACCAAGCCCCTGCAGCCCTGTGCCATTGTAGGAGAATGTGAATGTATAATGGACTAGAAACAAAAGTGAAATAGATTAATCTATGTTCATTGTCCAAACTGTGAGACATGCAAAAAACTAAACCGTGATAAAATGGTTAAAAGTAACGTTAGATTGTTAAAATTCTTTCAGTTTTAGTAATCGATTGTGTTAAAAAGTGTTTCAATTTTATAGCATCCCTGTGATTCATTACTGTTCTTCAGTTCACCAGGTCTGGTATGTCAATGGAGCCACTGAGATGGAAATCTTACTAAACAAATTCCTATTGAAATCAAAGGTATTTTGAAAATTACCCGGATTATCCATGTAATACTTGATGTGGATCACTGAAGAGTATAATACATTGAAAGGTCTGTTAAACCATGCATGATAAGGGAAGGAAAGATGATAGTGAAGATTAATGTGAACAACTATATGAAAGTGATTTATACTGAGGGACAGGAACAAAAAGCAGAATAACCATCTGTCCTTCAGTGACTAGGAGAATACATTTAGCACTTACAGTATATATTGCTTTACAGCTTCAAATCACTGTACTAACATTAACTCGCAAATTAATTAATCTTCACAGACCAAATGAGGGGAAATTGAACAGAAGAGCTATGATGGAACAAGCTATTCTGCAACAGCTCCTTGTGTGGACACTTATTCTGGCAGACTAATGCCTTTTTCTGATCTTGTTTAACACACTTATTCTGGAATAAGAGTGTCCATACAGGGAGCTATTCCATGCCTTTTTAAATTCCCACTCTGCCTTATTTTGGAATAACTTTCCACTGTAGACAAGCCCCAATTTCCACTTTACAGCTAGGAAAAGTAAGAGCAGACAGGCTATGTGTTTTGCCTGATGCCACAGACAGAGTCAAGGGCAGAGTGGGGATTAGAGCTCAGAAGTGGGTAGTTTTTAATTCCACACTTGGGGTACTATGCTGCCTTGGTGATGGTGCACTCCCTGAAGATTTTTTTCTCTATTGCAGAAACTGTTTCTTCATAAAGACTGCGAGGAGTCTGGTGGCACCTTAAAGACTAACAGATTTACTTGGGCATAAGCCTTCGTGGGTAAAAAACCCACTTCTTCTGGAGTACTGTCAGCCATAAAAATGTTGGCATACTGTGGGGCCATGTGAGTACCCATAGCAGTGCCACTGACTTGAAGGTATAAGCTGTCCCCAAATCTGAAATGGTTGTGGGTGAGGACAAAGTCACAAAGCTCAGTCACCAGGTGTGCCATGGCCTCAAAGTCTGTTCCCCCACAAACACCTGTTAAGGAGGCCCTATGTCACAGCTCCAACTTTTCTACAATTTGCTCTCATGCTGTTCTTAAAAAAACTGGCAGGCATGCTGCTGACTACGCCATTGTTGGTGAGGTGCAGATCAGCTAGCAACTAACTGGCTGTGGGGTTTGAAAATATCCTATACTACCCTGTCTCAACGCTTCTCTGACTGCAGTGGCACAAGTATTCAAGCAGTCAGTCATTACACCACATAAATCGGGTCAGATTTATCCCGAGCGTAACCTCATTTACACCAGGCCAGTGAAGTAACAGCAGGATAGAATTTTGCCTATGAAAACTGCACAATTACACATATACTGTCATACGTTGACAGAGAGAGTAGATCTAAATCAAATCCTTAGCTGCTGTAAATCAGGGCAGCTCTGAGGATCTGGCTGTCAAGGTTTACACAGCACTAAGCCAGTGCTTGTGCAACAATAACCTTTAATGAATGCAGACTGAGGTAAATTACACTTGGTGTTTTTGCATCATTGTGGATCAGCGGACACAGTAATGGAAATTTCTGGTACGGTTCGCAGGAATTTCTGTCTTCTGTTTTTGACATCAATTTGTCTACACAAGGAATTATCATCCTTCACCTCTGATGCTTCTCCTGACATACGTTGGGGCTTTAACTTAGAGTTTATTCTTTTTACTTTTTATATATGGTGCTTGGGTTATATTTCATACCTTGGCTTGGAAGTTTATCTTTACAATACTGTCAATTAACTTTTATGTTGTCTCTTACACAAGCTTTTAAGAGCTCTATCTCATTCTTGACAGCTTGCTTTTGCGGAGATGAGAACTCAACTACCATTAATATGACTGTCATACCTTCAGGTGACAGATATAAGGTAGGTGAGGTAATATCTTTTATTGGACCAACTTCTTTCAGGTGCAATTTGCTCTCATCATATATAAGAACAACTTAACATTAGTGGCTAATGTTCTTAATATAGTACAATTGTATTCAAACACAGATAACTGATTGTTATGTTTGGTCTGTAATCATCTTCTGACAATCAGAACTTCATGCAAGTTTGTCTCCACATCCTAGAGAATGCTTTTTACTCTCTAATATAAAACAAATACCAGGTTCCTAAGCCATGCAGCACTAGTATTATCCAGTATTTCTCTCCTTTATTATGGGTCTGCATAATTAATTGCTGGAAACACTGCTGACACATACTTATTACAGTGCTACTAAGCTGTGGCCTACTGAACGAAGACAACAGACACAGTGGTATTATGTAGCATTCTGTGAAATGGAGATTGATTTCAGGAAATTCTTCTGACATAGATATACGGCCTTATTCCAGACAACAGCAAAAGATCTGTGACTGAAAATTGAGTCATAGAGTCATGATGAAACCTTATGGAATTTGAAAATCATAGCTCTTGTCCCTTTTATCACTTAATCCAAATAAAATCTCATCTACTTCCTTTGGCTTTTAAATTTAATCTTCTCAATAGTTAGACTTATTCTGTTATTCTAAAGTGCTTTATATAGAACCCTTTTCTCCTTCCTCCCAAATCATTCTGATACAGTAATATGGGATTAATCTAAATTTCTAATCTTTAATCATTTATAGTGTGCTTAGAAATACATATTCTGAATACCTGTAGTGGTGCATTCATAATCAAAACTTGTGACATCATTTAACTTCTTATCCTGGTATTCTGCTGGACCAATACACAGGACATCAGAAACAGTGGAATTTGTCATCTTTAACCACACAAACAACCACTTGGCTTTGCAGTCACACTCAAATTTATTTCCCCTTAAATCTCTAAAAAAACACACAGAAATAAACATATTTGAAATGGTTGGTAGTGATACGAAAACTGCAGAATTGTTAGCACGTTGACATACTTAATTCAAAAGTAGCTGAATAGTTTTAAATTGATTCTGAACAGAGGATGGAAAATATTTTCCATCTCTTATCCTAACTGTATTGTTCTTTACATTTCACTGAAACGTTGTTTATAACAAATACAGGCCCCAATTCTGGAAACACGCACATGTGTATCTTTATGCATGGAACGGGTCTATTCAGGTGTTTCACGTTCATAAGCATTAGCAGGATTGGAACTATAATTCACTAAAAATCCTCACAAGACGGCTCCCTCCCACTCCGCTGCTTTTCCATTGTCTCAGAGTTCCACTGAAATTCACAGATTCCTTTGCTTCACTCTACCACTCCAGTACATAGGCGGCTGACAGTAACAGCCTTATCAGTGAAAAGAAAAGGAGTACTTGTGGCACCTTAGAGACTAACCAATTTATTTGAGCATGAGCTTTCGTGAGCTACAGCTCACTTCATCGGATGCATGCCGTGGAAACTGCAGCAGACTTTATTTATACACAGAGAATATGAAAAAATACCTCCTCCCACCCCACTGTCCTGCTGGTAATAGCTTATCTAAAGTGAAGTTTCTATGTTACATTGAAACAGAGCATACAGAGACTAATTCCACAAACATCTGAAATGTTCACAGTGTGTTTAAATTCTTAAAAGGGTCACCATCAATGTGAAGTTGAGTCAATTCCAAAAAATAAGGTATCTGTAGTTCCAGGTACAATTCCTGTCTCTGAGCCTCTTGACATAGTTTGTGGCTTTACAATCACATTTTCCAACTTTTTTTTTTTTTTTTTTTTTTAAGTTTTGCTCTACCTTGTTGCTGTGTGACAGACTCTGGCAAATAATAGGGGAAAGTGACTAACCACTAGAAAAATATTGACACAGCCTGAGCAAAGTGCTGTCAAATACAAAATGAAAAAATGGGGGGCGGGGGGGAATCTTTTTTTAAAAATCTAATCTCTTTCAGTAACAGTAATTTTAGGGGTTACTTGTAGCAACAGTAGATTAAAAAATTTTCACACAAACTGTGATTTTAAAGTTGATGTCCCTTCAACTCATAAGACTTTTCATGAAAGATCAGAAAATAAGTAATAATGCTGGTCATATGCACTATTGTGATAAACAACAAGTGAAATCTAATTTAATCCTACTGAGCAAACAATATTAAAATGAGAATGCTAATACAACACAATAAGCATTTATTTTTAGCATGGATTTCAGCTACAACACCAAAAAAACGGAACTTAAAGCACAGATTAATAGAGTCACAATGACAGGCAACCAATAAAAAGATTTTCATTACTTACAATTCAATCAGAGAATCTAAATCACTGAAGACATCCCTTGGCAGAACTTTAATGTGGTTATTAGCCAAAGAACTAGAAAAGAAAGTTAGATCTTATTATCTTGACTCCTACCAAGTCTAACGTCACTTAAATAATGCTAATGATTTGATGTTGTCTAAGTCCTAGTACTGACCATGACTAATGGGATCATGAATAAATTAAACACTGTGCTTCCACCTTGTGAATCTTTGCTAATCTGTGAGAACAGAAAGTGAAGATGACTAGAAACAAAAGTGAAATTGGTCAATTGGTTTTTATTGCCCAAGAGGAATGAAATACACAAAAATACAAGCAGTAAAATGCTGAAAAGTAAATGGAATTTTAACTATACTTTAATATGCTGTATCTAAGGTATTAGTAATAAGAACTGCTTGCAAAGTAAAGGTTGCATGTTCAGGTTTTGAGTGTGTGTAACTCAGGTGAAAACCCTGGAGTATTGTCAGAACAGTGAATATTTTTAAACTTACTGGAAGCCACATTGTAACAGTCTGAATTAGCCGATGTGCAGAGATTAAGATGGAAATGTCCTACACAGCACAAAAACTAGTTTTCTTTAAAGGAGAAAGAGCCTCCACCATTAACAGTAAAAACAATTACAGAAGTGCTTAAGGCATGAGTTTTGGAACATCTGGCAATGTATAAACAACTTCTAATAAGTGATAAAGGACTTACAGGTGAGTCAGATCGCGAAGACCACGGAATGCATTTCTTGAAATGGTTTCTATTTTGTTTCCTTCAATAAATCTATACAGAAAAAATAATAAATATATATTTTAAATACAGTATTAGTATGTATGTTTTAACCTATCGCCTCCTAACTTAGTATCTACATAGGCTCCTTCGTATATGATGCTGAAGAAATATCAGTAGAGGTACTTACATTCCCTTTTCCTTTCTCTTATGGCCAAAGCACAAGAGAAGGAAAAGGTGACAGTCTGAACAAGAGAGAGAGAGAGAATGTAAGGGAAAGAGCTGAAAAGAGAAAGAAGGAAAAGCATGGACAGTGTGGATAACCCTATTCCCCATTTCACAACTAGTTAATCATCCCCTGAGGAGTTCTCCTGACAGACCTGAGAGGGGGAGTTGGCCAGGGTTCCACAGTGTTTAGCAATGCTATTTGATATGTGTGGTGGTATGAAGACAAACTGTAAGCTCCTCTGGACAAAGTAAGTTAAGAACAAAATGAAGAGAGCCAATAGCAGCCGAGAGGAAAGTGGTGGGACAAAAGTGAGGACAATAAAATGAACCTACCTACATTTCAGCATCTGGCCTGAAATCTGTATGGTCTCCTTGGGGGGCTACACCTTGTGGGGTCACCACCAGGACTGGCCAAGGAAATTGCAGAATGACTCCCTACATTTCTAGGAACTAAGGTGTTGGAGAAATAATTGTGTTGGGGGTTAGAGAGCAAAGTCAGCTGCTGTGAACAGTTACATTGTCCTTGGCTCTTCACTATCTGTCTAGGTTCATATATTGGTGCCCAGCTCTGTAGTAACTGTTCATCTTTATGAAGTGACAGGGACCCCTCTTCACATCAAGAGCACAGATAAGGACATGAGAAAGGAGTCAGTCTACTCCGTCAGAAGGTTGCTTTGAGTCATGAATTCTATCTGCACTCCAAAAGGCCAGATTTCCCCATACACCATACCCAAGGAAGCTGGAGCTATTTTCTCATCCTCTCAGAAGACAGAAGGTTTTTTCTGCCTTACCAAGATTGGTTGCCTCCTCAGTTGGTGTAAATAAACATATCTCCATCAAACTCAATGTTTCAAGATGGGGACATCTGGACTGGGACTCAGTGACTGCATGGCCCTGTAAATATAGATTCCTGCATCACTGAATCTTCTGAAGGGACTCTTCAGTGAGAATGCACCTATTAGTGTCACTCTCTAATGACTGACAGTATATTAGCCCAGTCCTTTTTCAGAGCTCCTAGGCATATATATTCAGACACTATTAACATAGCCCATTAGTCTTGGCAGTATTTATATATATGTTGTTCTTAATGGTGTAGACATGATGTAGTTACTTTTGGCAACATTACCTGTTATGCATACTCCCTGGCCTGCCCTCCTCCTCGATCCCTTATTTTGTACACAAAGAAACTTTCTCATTTGCCAGAGAGGTTTCTTTTCCCCCTATGCTGGGTGACCAATGCCTGGAAGAAATTGAATACTGGAGTATTAATGCTGCTTAGCATTCATGTGGAGGAAATATCACTGCTTAGCTTCAATTTACAAAAGGTGGAGGTAAGGTCTCTTGGGAGGAGGAAACATTTTGAAGAATTGGCAGAGATGTTGATCATAGCCTCAGCTGAGATCATCTGTCTGGCATTGGTTAAAGGGGGTTTCAGTCTTGGGGTCTTGTTAGATTTGTCTCTGTTTCTTGATAGAATGCTACATTTGATCAAATGACTAAGACACTCCATACTTTTCTTTCAAATGTGGGCCTGCCCACTCCATCCGTCACCACAAACATAGGCTATTGTAACATGCTCTATCTTGGGCTCCTCATGAGCACCACTTGGAAGCTGAAGCCAGCCCACAACAGACCCAAATTTGAAAGTTTGTTTGGGTTTTTTTTGCCTTCCACAAGCTTTTTACATTTTGATGCCTCCACCTGTAAAACTGTTTACTGCTGTCACTGAAAAATCCAGATGCTGTAGAATCATGGATTACAGCATATGCCGTTTGCCATATTCCACTATTTCTGGGTCTGTTACTTCTATTGCTGGCTGCTCCTCCATACCATAATATTAGTTCTGAATGCAGCATGTTTAGCAGTAACTGCCTATAGACGAATAAAGGCATTAGCAGAGGTTGGCGTTCATGACACTCCTCCAGGCAGCAATATAATGGTGAGAATCTATAGAAGGGGAAGCTTCTTTCAACACTGAAAAGTTATTGGAGGGATGTATCTTGTACCCAGAATGTGTTCAGACTCTAAAAACCTACCTCCTGATTTGAGATACGAAAGCAGGTGAGTCTTTGGAAAGCCCTTTGAATGTGAAGTGAGGATAACCAGATAATACGGTTAGTATACTTTTTAAAAAAAGAGAAAGAAAGGGTGGTAAGAAGAGGAAATGAAGCAGAAATAAAGGGAAGGAGTAAACTGAGCTAAGAAGAGAGAGGATGAAGTATAAATGAAATACTGGGGTGGCAAAGATACTGCAGAGAGAGAGTGGGAGGGGAGAATGAAGAAAAAGGGGATCATGGCTACAAAAGAGAGTGACTCTGATACTCTGCACCTCACCTGCTGGGACTTGTCAGCAAGCCATTATCTACTGACTGACATTTCAAACTCTTCTATTACATATAACAGATGGAATTGGCCTGCAAATCTAGCACCAGTTCTAGATCACCAACCCCATTTCAGCGAATTGTGTCTATACAGAAAGAAAAGGAGTACTTGTGGCACCTTAGAGACTAACCAATTTATTTGAGCATAAGCTTTCGTGAGCTACAGCTCACTTCATCACTTCACTTCATCACTTCACCGATGAAGTGAGCTGTAGCTCACGAAAGCTTATGCTCAAATAAATTGGTTAGTCTCTAAGGTGCCACAAGTACTACTTTTCTTTTTGTGAATACAGACTAACACGGCTGTTACTCTAAAATCTGTCTATACAGAGTCACCCCAGCATATATGGCATGTTTTAAAAATACTCTGCAACATCTGAAAAATGGTAGGTAGCTGCATGAGACATTTGGACAGAAAATGGAACATAAATCCCTCCATTTTCCTTGGCCCCAGTAACCACAGGGAAAATGGTTTCTCCAAGGCAGGAGTTTTGGCAACTCATCAAAACATCTTGGTTTATAAAAGACTGGCAAATATGTAAAATATAGAACTTACAGGTACTCTAGATGGAAGAGACCAGCAAAGGCATCATCCCGTATGATAGTAAACGAGTTAGAGTTCAGCAAGCTGAAAATGGAGAGCAGCCATTAGGAAAGCAGATGAAAACCTGATACAGAGGATTATGCCAGTTACGTTTATTGACTATCATCGCCTAATCTTACTGACTCAGGCCCATATTATCTCATCAATACAGCATGTGGAAAATATTTTGGAGTGCTGCTTTAAAAAAATCAATGGCATAATCTGACCCGCTATTAATATCTTCCATGCTATAGAAAGTATACTCCATGACATTATCATCCACCTTGGTGGAAAGGCACAGAGAGCTAGATTTTCTGGTGCACTAAGGCCATCTTGTGCCACATCAGTGGTGCAAAGTGGCCATAGATAGTCCGCAGAGAATTCCCCCTATATCCTCTGCCAGCAGAGGCAGCTCTGCCCCACCCACAGAACCTTAGGTCAGTAATGGAAGTTAGACAGTGCTGGGCAGGAGCAACTCTAACTTGTGCCACGGCGGTGAGGCTGGGGATCAGGGAACTACAGCCAGCCATAGCTCTACTCAACGTGGGGTGGAGAATCTGCCCTGTAATCCTCGTATATACAAGTATCTGATCAAAAATATGCTCTTTCTTCATCCTGTTAATCTATGAAAAGGAAACCCCACTCAAATGAAAGACTACTTCTAAAATCTCACGAGGGCTGCTGGAACTCCCAGCAGCTACAAGTGAGCATGTCCGCATTTATCACTTATTATAACCACTTAGTAATCCTTTTTTTTGCATAGTTTTAGGTATTTTACTAAAATTAATTTGGAAAAATAATGAATATTAAATGCAAACTTGCTCTGTGATCCTAGGTCAGTATGCTAATTCTAGACAAATACTCTTTAAATTAACCCAAAGAAATCCAAGAAAGATTGAGATGGCAATTAAAATAAATCCTGGTATTGCTATTTTACCAGGGTTACTAACAAATAAGAACCAGTGCCAAAGATTGCAAAGAGCAATGGTTATTTCAGTTCACACCTTAAGCTACTTCCTTCATATCTTGAATCATTCAAATTCCTGTGTTTGAAGGCAAAACTATAAAATACATTAGTCAGCAAAAACTGTTGCGGGGGGGACAAGATAAGTGGTTGGTATGGCACTTAGACACCCTCCCCAATAACATGAACAAACTAACCTTGCTGGGGCTGTTCCTCCTCCCGCACTGAACAATCTGATACCCCCACTGCACAATATCCTCTGCTGGTAATCTTACCACTCTACCCCAACTTCTGAAAAAAATAAACAGGCAGCCCCTTCCACATTGCCCTCCCCTCAGGATACAAGCCTCTACCTGCCATCACCTTCAAATCACTGGCAGGCCAGGTCTTCACTCCCTTTGCATTGGCCTTCCCCTCTGTGGACTCCTCACACTGCTTCTGAAGGGTATGGGATGGAGCTCGGCACCGGGGCTGAGCTTGTGTAACAGTGACAACCCCAGTTGTCAGTGGGCAAGATCGAACCTGGGACATCAGTGCATGAACCTCCAATGCTTGAGCTAAAAGCTACATGGCCCTTAGCTAAGGCTGTAGAGCAGATTCATTAATTTCTCTCTCTAAGTGGTCTCGGTGCCACTAGATGGGACTGAACACCACATCCAGGAGGTGTGTGGGTTATACTTGCACTCCAGCTCTTTTGGGCAAATCTTCTGTAGCCCCAAAGAGGCCTAAGAAAGTTCCCTCTGAGCATGTTCTGATCTCCGCCCTGCTCTACACTTTCAGTGAAGGGAAGAGTTCAGGTCTTAAGGGCCGGAGGCTGCCAGACTTTCCTTCCCCTGAGTGCCCTCTATGGCCTTGTCTATAGTGAGAAAAAGCATCATATTAGCAAACACGTTAACTAGCACCATGTTAAACATGTTTTTTCCCTTACCGCACACACAAGTGTTTTCAAATGTGGCAGCTGGTTAGTTAATACATTTTTCTAACCCAATGCATTTTCCCACTAAACACAAAGGCCAGGGGGTTGCTGTACTGAAGATGCGAGGTTCTGCCAGCCCCTCCATTTCCTAGCTGCGCTCCGTGGTGCTGCACTGAAGGGGATGAAGGCCTCTCCTCGTCCTGTCTTCCCTTCACTCCCCAGTGTTCTCTCCACTGTGCTGCTGGAAAGAAGGAAACGAAGGAATTTGGCACAATTGTATTTGTTTTTGTTTATTCAAAGAAATAAAGGCGAGAGGATTGAACTGGTGGGGCTTCGCCCCATTTGCCCCTCATTACGAGACGCCACTGGGGGCTATTCTGTCTCAGCAGACCCCGGTTTTAAATTATCTGTCTATGGCACTTACATGTCCCCCATTTCTGTAGTGCCTTGCAATCTTTTAATGTATTTATCCTCACAACACCCTCTAACACAGGGAAGTGCTATTATCCACATGTTTACTGACGTGGCACTGAGGCACTGTCAAGGGGATTTAGGCTTCTAAGTACCTACATCCCTTTTGAAAATGAGATGTAGGCTCCTAAATCAGTTCGGCATGGCAGCACAAAACACAGCAGAGACTAAGCAGCTTGTCCAAGGTCACCCAGGAAGTCTGCAGCAGAGCAGAGAATTGAACACAGGGCTCCCATATCCCAACTTAACACCCTAACCACTGCACTGTCCTTCCTACAGAATAGTCACCACTTCCTAGACAGGTTCATGGGACTGGAACCTGTGACCTCAAAGCCCAACACTTTCCATTAAGCCACATTCAACCCAACACAATTTGCTTAAGAGACTTTGAACTCTTACAGGTAGCACAAAATTCTCCTCTCAAATGTACTGGAATGATCTGGACTCTGACAGTCCACTCTCCCGAGAAGAGCAAATCACCACTGATATCAGTACCACCCCCCACCCGCACGGTTAATGTCAGATTCATTAGCATAGAATGAACATGATGTTGGAGTTAGATCAATCGTGTGACTCCAAGAGGCGAATTCAATCCTAAGTGTGTTTAGTATGGGCCTTAAAAAAGAATTTAAAACAGCAGAGAAACATATTGTCTTCATTTAGTAAATTAGCAATAATTTCCTAAATGGTTTTATGCCATATTGTCAATGAAGCAAATTCATCCCTGGCATATTGTTACACCACTGAAGTCAATGGAGTTACCCCAGCGATTAACTTATCCATTATCTTCTTTCTGAAGATACCATGGTGCATATATCTAGGGGGATATTGGCAAAAGTTTTAGTTAGAGCTGTGTTTTGTTGGGAAGTGCAGTACTTACAGCAGCTGCAGGCAGGGCAGATGGGCAAACATTCTGTCCTTGATTTCAGAAAAGGTTCCATTTACCAGGCTCCTGAGAGGAAAAAAGCAGGAAAATCCAACAACTAAATAAGGCTCATTATCATCACCTTCACTAGCAGCATCCCAATATCTGCCCCATTGGTTGGCCTGGCCCCTTTTTATAATATCCCAGCAAATGGGGTCAATATTCATGTTTAAAGGGTGTTTAATTCTGCTCCTGTCCCTGTTTCTCCCCACTAAGCTTGGGAAGTTCCCTTTTCACCGTATCCTCACATTAATCTTTAATACCATGCACTTTTAGCCTCTTGCCAACCTCTCTCCACGGGGTGGGGAGGATTGTTTTGTCTGCCCACTTGTATTTTTGGATTTTTATAAAGGAAGAAAGAACAAAAGAGAGAGGGAGAGAGAAAAGAAAATTAGTACGTGTGTTAAACAGGATTAACAGCAAAAGCACATGAGATTTAAAAGTGGTGCAAGTTAAAAACACCATCATTTCCAGTTCTACTCACATTAAAAATGCATCTAACTAACTCTCAAGTTCCTGAAGTCTGTGTAGTCTTTTCCCCACGGTAATAATGCCATCTAAGATAATTACCAGGGAGTAAATCTTTCTTTAAGTCTACAGCACTTTAATATGGCCACTTGCCATCTCCTCAGGTCCATAAGATTTACACATGGTAAGTATATATATATATATATATATATATATATACACACACACACGCATTTTCCTTCCCTTACATATGTGGTGTAGAAATGGTGCAGTCAAGATTTCTCATTTGAAAAGGTGTTTCAGATATAGAAATCAAACTCCTTTGCAGCTGCAAGGCAGTGCAATATTTCAGCATGGAAAGCACAGACACTGCCATACGCTAATTACACTGCACATTACTGGGATCTTAGCATCCCTCAAGAAGCCAGCATCCAGCAGGGAAACTAAAACCCCAACTTACAGAAAAGAAGCCCAAACCACAAAGAAGGAATAGGGGTGAGGGGCCCCCGGCCGCTGCCCAGGAGAACTCTGGTGTAGGAAGGTTAAACTTACAAGGAGCTGATGTCGCTGAGGATGATTCGCGGCACACCAGGAGACCCCACACAAATGATGGATTCTTTGGTGCAGCTGCATGTGGCAGGGCATCGGACTGGCTTCTTCACCTGGGCACGCTGCAGTAGGCATGCCACCGCCAGAACCAGGAGACAGAGAGAACCACCGCTGCAGCCACTGCTTCGGAGGAGAGCCATACCGTTCCCTCCTCCTCTTCCTCGCGGTCCCCTTTTGGCCCTGCACCCTTGGCCCGGGCCCTGCTGCCGCTGCTGCTACTGCACAAGAGGCTGGAGCAGGAGTAGGAGCCAGGCAGCATGCTGCACCCTTACGCTCAGGCTGAGTGTCTCTCTGCAGCAGAAGCAGCAGCACCAGGGCTGCTGCACTAGACTCCTTCCTCCTGACATCAGCACTTCAGCGGCAGCCTTTTCTGTCCAATGAATAATTTATCAAAGGCTCCACTGCAAGGGAGAGTTTAAAAATAATCCCCCAAATAGCCGGGGCTCAAAGGACTCTGTTTCACTTTCCCCTCCCCCTCCCCTTGGTTTCTCCTTGAACACTAGCGAGGAGAGGAGGCAGCTGGGTGACCTTGCGGGGGGAGGGGGGTATATCTGCCACACACATGACTGGGGCCAAATGTTCATTTCCTGTGCAAGAAGGGGTGCGGAGCACCCCAGGGCTGCTGCTCCCAGTGACCTGGGACAGAAGGGGGATTCCAGGCCTAACACACAGCATGTTAGCGCCTTTCTGCAGAAGTGGGGTAGGCTGTGGGGGGGACACGACAATATTAGTTTAAATAATTTAAAGACACCCCGCCCCCCCCGCCCTCCAAATCACCATGTGGTAGAAACAGCATTTTAGGAGATTGGAAAACCGGTGACATTCTTTCATCATTTCTTCTTCTTTGTAACATGTTTAGTGCTGACAAAGTTCTCAGTGCTGCGCAATGCACATATCTGAAGGCAGACCCTGCCCCAAAGCCCTTACAGTCTACATGACAGGCGCACAGAAGACAGGGCACATCGGGATACTCAGAGGTGGGAATAATTTAGGGAGTTATTTTTTCCCCACTTCATAATTAATTGCAAGCTCCTATCTGGTGGGCATCAGGGAAGAAGTGAATTTATAGGAGGTTTAAGAGCAAGATGGTAACAGGTAAAATCAGTGCACTAGGAAGGGCAGTGTGGGAAAGTGCACAGAGATAGGAATGGGAAAAGAAAACAGAGGAGGCATTAACGAACCATTGGATAATACAATAGGAGACAAGGTCTGAGCTGCAGGGTAGGGCAGGTTTGCGCAGGGCCTTGAGAGTGAGGAAAAGGAGTTTAAACTTGACTATACAAGATTTGTGGCAAAGCTGGGAACTCAATACAGATCCAGTTTGCAGTCCACAATGCCATCCTTCCTCACTATAGCAGTACTAGTTTAGTCCTTTTCATCTGTAGACCTCAAAAGAACTCTGTGAAGGAAGGAAAATACTATAACCCCATTCTACAGAGGGGGAAGGGCAGAAAGGGGATGTCTTCCCTAAAGTTACTCAGTAGGTCAGTGGCAGAGACACAAACAGAACCCAAATTCTTGACTCCCAGATAATTGCCTTGTCCGCTGGCCCACGTTGCTTGCTATGATTTGTAAGGTGCCCATTCCCTTACTAACTAGGTGCCCACCAGATAGGAGCTTGCAATGATTATGAAGTAAAAAAAATAACCCTCTAAGTTATTCCCATATCTGAGTACATCAATGTTGTAGCCATGTAGGTCCCAGGATATTAGAGAGACAAGGTGTGTTTGGTTATATCTTTTATTGGACCAAATTCTTTTGGTGAGAGAGACAACCTGTTTCATCTTGCATTTTGCTGTGATGCTGGGAGTTCCTTTCCCAGACCTGAAGAAGAGAGAGCTCTGTGTTGCTTGAAAGCTTGTTTCTCTCACCAACAGATGTTGGTTAATAAAAGATATTACCTCCCCCACCTTGTCTCTCTAGGTGCCATATACATAAGTTAAAATGTTCTTAATCCTATTTTCATTAGAACCACTTTGTTGTGTGGGTTGTTCTTGCCCTGTCTTCAGGAGAGATGCTATGGATTGTTCTGCCGCTACTATTGTTTAGGGAAGGCTTGTGCTAGTCCCAATACAAGATAGTCTGGCTCTTAAAGGTATAACCCTTCTGCCAAGTAGAGCCAGCAAGGACCAGGGCCAGGTTCAATATCTAGGCGTTCCTTTCCATTGATACAATACAGAACTGGCTCGAGCCCCCACCCGGTAACCTGGGATATTTACACACCACCCCTGGGTGCCTCTGAGAGACAATACTTCCCCACTCGCAAGCACAGAGTTTGAGTGTAGAAAAGAAACTTTTAATAAAAGGAGGGAAGTAACAGCGTTAATTTTGGAAAACACTGCAAACGCTGTTCATAAATATAAATCATGAGTAAAAGACCCACCCCCAAGTAGATTGGGCAGTGTCCTTTCCCCCTCAGGTTCTTAAGTCCAGCAACCCAAAAGTCCCTTTCATGTGCCCGACCCTTCTCCGCACCCCATTCACAGCTGCTGTCCTCGATCAGTGCAGACCCAAAGTTCAGAGGTGCATCTGGAGAGTTCACCTCCCGCCCTGGGTGGAGTAAAGAAGCACTTTATTCACTCTGCTGCTCGGGCTCTCGCTCACTGACCCTCTCTGTCAGCCACTCAACAGACACTCCTGCCAGCTGCCTGCTCTTGCCGTGCCTCTCCACCGCTCATCGTACCTCTCTGCTGCACCAGCCACTCATTCACCAGCTGACTGTCAGTCACTTTCTGCTTCCACCTGCCTCTCTGCTGTGACCTCTGCACATCAGTCTCTTAGTAATTTTCATCTCTTTGCAGGCTGCCCCATCTCAAGTGAGTTCAACTCTCAGGGATTTTTAGCTGTTAGTAGGCAGGGCAGAAACACAGTCCTACCACAACTGATTTCAGCTCTGATTCGGCATTTAACATAACAAAGAGGCTCCTAATTAAGCCTCGTTAGCTCTTTCTTTGGGGGGGGAAGAGAAGAGAAGAACAGCTTAAACCAGTCCAAGAAGGACCCTTGGGAAGGGTTTGCAGCCTCCTAACCAGGATATAACTTAGATAATTTTTTCACTTCAAGGTCTAAGAGACACAGGCAAGGTTTTCATCTCAAGGCCAAAAGACCAAAAACATCAAGACACTTGATCACGGCCTTAGATAGGCCCAGAGACTACTTACACTTGCTACCACGCCCTTACTTTCTCAGGGCCCTGGCATTCAACCCCCTGGTTTAATGAGGTTCTGTCAACTGAGAGTGACCCCCCTCATTTGGGACAGGTTAAGTACAGTCCTGCTTCCCTGCATTCCCACAATAATTACAACATTGGTAACCATATTTCACTACCCCTGCATTCAGTACTAAGGTGATTTGTAACTCAACACCAGTCAAAGTTGATCACTTGGACACCACTCTTTCTGCTGAATATGTAAGCAGAACAGGAGCAAACTGTATTTACGTAAACACACCCAAAGTCTCTCCCCCTCCCAGCTAGCAGTCAGGGAAGCATTCATTCAGACCCTGCTTACAAAGGCATCCCCTGACTGCAATGGAGAAGAGCAGCAGTGAGGCACAGTTACTCCCTACTGACTGGGGCTGGTCCTGGTCCTGGCAGAAAAGGGGCGAGTGACAGCACACCACCACGCTAGCTTGGTTCCTGCCAGGAGATGAACCTCCCAGGCATAAACCATTTCCTCCCCAACCCACATAATGTGAAGACAAGTTACCCCCCAAGAACCTGCAAATGTGAGCGTTGAACAATGCAGGGAGTTGAGGTGCCAAGAATCACAGGCTATGCACCAAGATAGCTGTATTGCTTCTCACAGCCAAATCTAGCCACAGTGAGGACATGGGGCATGACAGCCATGAGCCCATATCAACAATTTGGTCCCACTGCGGTGGGTTAGGCTACTACACACTGACTAATCTGAGATAGCTTAATCCCCGGTTAGCATGCAGTGAAGCCATACCCTTAGGGCATATCTACACTGCAACTGGGAGGTGTGACTGCAGCATGTGTAGGCCTACCTGAGCTAGCTTTGACCGAGGTAGCTCGCTAAAAATAGCCGTGTAGCCAAGGCAGATCAGGAGGCAATGCAGGCTAGCTCCCTGCATGCAATCCCATCCAGGACATACTTGGGCAGCTGCTGCCAGTGCCACTGTAACTACACTGCTATTGTTAGCGAGCCACCTCAGTCAGAGCCAGCCCAGGTCTACCAACTGCAATCACACCTGCTGCAATCACACTGCAACACAGACATATCCTAGAGACTTCCCTGACTAATCAGCTGCCTCCAGCAGTGGTGTTGAGTGATGAGAAGGCACAACTGCTCTCTCCCAGAAGTGCTGGTCCCAGAGGATGTTCCATCCACACAAATAACTGAGTCCCTGCCCTTAGAAGTTAACAGACTAAATGTATAACGTGCAATACAATACAACAAAAACAAGCCCTGTGTAGGCAGCCACCGCAGTGTGTGATCATTAAAGCTGGCACACAGCGGCCCCACTGGTGGGGAGCATGAATTATAGGGGAATGCCGCTGTCTCCCTACAACCTTGCTGGATGTGTGAAGGGACTGCTGAGTGGGTGACACCTGGCAGCCTTGTATCTAGGTCCATATCTGGTGCTATAGTTAGCTGCTAGGGACGTGGTGGGGAGAGAAGGTCTAGCAAGCACTTAGGAGGAAGCTGCAGCAGTGAGTTTGGGGAAAGAACAAGTCCTGAGAGCACTGTGAAAGGCAGCAGGAAGAAAGTACAGCTGTGTGCTAGGGAGAATATAGGACTGACTACAATAAAAAAATCAGTGAGTCACTTTCTTCTGATGTTGAACAAGGAACATTATTAGAATAAGGAGCATGGTTATTCTTTAATTTGCCCTGTCTCTCTCTGTTGAGCTTCTACCCAGAACCTCTTCATGTCACTTCCTGCCTTGCTTCCTGCTACAGAGTTAAAGAATCAACACATACTCTCACTTGCATGACAAGAGCTGGCAGTGCGAGGAACATTTTAATGTTTTCCTCAGGCTGACTACTCTTGTAGGCAAACACGCAGCTTACTATACCTCTCGACATCTCCAGGGGCTAAAGCACGTCAGGTGCTGCCCCTGGGGGTAGGAGATCGAGGGGGAAGAGGGGCAGAGCTGCAGACAAGCCCACCCTGCAGTAGCAGCTTCTGTCCCATGGGGCTGGCTGGGCTCCAGGTGTTGCAACCTGGCCTCTGGCACATGGGGTCACTGTGCCATTCACTCAAATTTGCCCTGCCTCCCTGTCAGGGGGGCTGAGCCAAACCTGAGTGGCGCTGCAACCCCACTGCAAGAGGCCAGGTTGCAGTGTCCTGACTTGGAAGCCACACCCAGCCAACCCTATGGGATAGAAGCTGCTTTAATGGAGAGAGAGGAGTTTGTAGGCCAAAGTGGGACAATCCCTTGAAACCCAGGGCTGTTGGGACCTCTGCTGCAACCACTGCTTTTTAACTTATCATAATAGCAGAGTTGGCACACAATATTTGATGTTTTACTTAAACCCCAGCTCCTGGAGACAAGTGATTACAAGCAAATCTCAGCTTTCATTTAAAACAACGTTTCTAGCCCTCAGGGTCATAGAGGAAACACTGAAAATGTGACCCAAGTACAGCCTGAGGCTCAGAAAGCAGAAGCTAAAGTAAAAGTAAAAGAACCCCCAATTTCAATTAATAAAAT